TGTCTCCACCTGTTTTCTTGCCATTTAAACAGACATTAGTTCGTTAGCTCTTTCAGTTTTGCTAGCCATTAGTTAGAGAAGAAAGAAAACAGCAAAATACTAAAACTACCATTCCTAACCCCCCACCCCCAAGAAAAGCCCACTGAATCCAACAACATATACTCATCAGATACAAAGTAATAAAAGAGTTATACCCAAACCTGGTCAGTCCTTCCATTTCTTGAAACTTGCACACACACTGAAGAAACCCACTCAGCCTTGAAAAGGTCGATCATTTTGCTCTCCTAAAATTTCATCTCTGAGAGTGCAGTCTTGCCAGTCCCCGACTGGCTCGCTCCCTCTCTCTCTCTCCCCCTCTGTGTGTGTGCCTCTCTCTCTACTTCTACCGGAGAGCGTTTTGTTTCCCTTTTCCTGTTTCAGCTGCTGGATGAATGCAAAATCCACGATTTGAAGGGATTTGTTTTTTTCCTTTTAGGCTAACAGTTGGAAATCGAAAACCTTGCTCTTCTGAATGGCTTTCCATGCCAGTCACCCAACACATAACATTTATACAAAGAGGCATAAACAGAACTGAGAATTCTGCTTTTAAAAAGCAAACATGAAACAACTTCCCCCTCTGCCTATTTTATTTACTTAACTATTAACACTTACCCTGAGATGTGCCATAAATGCTTTATTCCAAATGTATAAAAGCCAACCACATCTCAACTGAGAATTAAACAGTTTTAATGTCTTCAAATCCATGTTCCTGCTCCAAACCCTTATACAGACAGGCGCTGGCAGTGGTACAGCAGTTCTAAACAGCAGACATCTGATTCTTGACATTTAAAAATAACAATATTGGGGAAAAGGGAGTCTTTCTTTTTAAAATGAACTATAAACAGCTTGTGAGTGAACACATATCACACATTATCTGTATTGACTGGAACATGCAACAATTCCCAGCCAGAGTATCTGATTTCTAAGTCTGTGTCAGGCACAGGCTAAATTCCTATAGATTTCTCATTTTCTACAGAATTATGGCAGTGGCCTAAATGAAGTTAATTCTGAGTGATAATTTTACAAAGACAGAGTCAAACATCTGCTAGTGTTTAGATTCTATAACTGGTGAATATTAATGTAAACTTTGTTCAGTCTCAAATCAAATTAGGGACATTGCATTGTCCCTGTCTGGTGACTGGCATCCCACCAGTATTCTGCTGATAATTCCAGATCTATGTTCTCTTAATGGCATGTGCACACAGGAGGTCAGGTGCACAGATACATTTTCGACAGAGTAAAGCAAGTATCAAAAGAAAAAAATGCATTTATTTCTATTTCTGCAGTATTATGGAATTGGATGGATAAGGGGTCAACTGTTAGCTCTCCTAGTATTCTCTGCATTCCTGGGCAAATGATTGAGTCTTCTGTACTTAGTTTTGTCTGTAAAAGTAAAGTAGTCATACTTTACAAGGTTGCTTTGAGTCCTAAATGAGATATGGATATGCATGGCTTCTGGAACATAATAAATATTTCATAAATGTGGCTTCCTGTCTCTGCTTTGTATTTAGAGAGGACAAGAATTGGGCCTGGTCAATGGAAAGAATTCAGATTATGGATGCAGGTGAATAAGTGTTGACCTCCTGTGTTGCTGCATACTCCATGTACCTTTGGGCAAGCTTGTTAACCCAATTTACTAAATCTCAGTTTCTTTGACTGTAAAATACCTCTAGAGTTTTGAAGAGCAAATGAGATATCATTTGAAAAGCATCACCTTTTAGCAGGCATTGATGAAATGAGAGTCCCAGGCCTTCTAACACTTGGAAATTGCTCTAATTAGTTCTCTGACAGATGGAACTTAGGAGTTTAAAAACGTGGACTGAGGTTGCAGCTTTCTAGATGAAATGCTTCATTTTCAAGCAGAGGAAGCAAGCCTGGTGAGGTGAAATGATGGCTTCCAGCCATGTCACTAGCTCGCGCCAAACAGTGACTAGACCCCGATGGAACCTGTAACTGGTTTTTGACCACTTACCAGCCACACCTTGTGATGTTGCTGTCAAACGCGTTTGTAACCCCAGCTTCGACACTGGTTGGCAATTAAGGCAATATTACTGAAAAACTAAAACTAAAACCTTTGCTTCAAATCTGCTTCTAAGAATGAGTTCATGAATGAGATTATTCCTTGGGAGCTGACTTGGGCTGGCTGAACTTATTTCCTGAAAGGAGCCTCTGAGGACGGCAGATTCTCTGTCCAGCTCCTCGGCACAGGAAAGGAAAGGAGCTGAACCTGGATCTCAGAAGGCGTTTCCTGTTCCCTGCATGTGAATGCATTGCTCTTCCTTCCCTGTCTTTGCGGGAATCCTAGTACTCAGCTCTACATTTCGTTTGTTTGCCAACATGCCAGCACCTCACATTGAAATGTGGCAGGAGTATTATTTGTTCAACTTGGAAGCCTTGTACAGAATAGGAAATCAATAAATGTCAATATTTATTAACTAAGGTGTGACTTGGAGTTCAATGTACACTTCGAAGTTTAATTTGGTTCAGGGTTAATTATTGCCCAATGTAAGATAGAAAATATCAATTTTTCCAAAGATTTCAAAAATTTCAGGATATAAAGCAAAGGTATTTTGGGCAGGAAAGTTAGATCAGTTATTACTCTGGGGAGGAAGAGAAGGAACATGGGACTGAGGAAGGTACATGTGTGAACCACTGCAATTAGAAGTTTTATTTCTCAAGTTGGGTGATGCATAGATGAGTGTTTGCTTTATCTTATTTTTTCCCTTATACTTTTCTCAAATGTTTTTATTTTAAAAACTGGCTTAACAGAAGATAAATTATCTGAAAATAATATTTTGGTATCTTTGAGGCATGAGATCCAATAATGATCCTATACTAAATCCCATACTTAAATTTAAAGATTTTATTCTCATTCTACTAAAGAATTTGAATAGTAGTTTTATTTTAAAGATTTTGTTTTGTCCTTGCTCCCTTTCTCCTCAGCTGTAGCATCAAACAGATCTAAGTCTGAATCTCAGTTCTACATCTTATAGGTCTTGGGCTCTAAACCACTCCACACTGTAGTTCTAAGCTTGTTTCCCATCTTGGAAAAACTTAGCACAATCACCTTTAGCTTGCAGGATTATTATGAAGATGGAAGGAATCAACAAGTGTGAAACTTTTCCTGTGGCATCTAGTACATAGCAGATCTTCAATTAATACCGGTTTCCTCTTTGCCTTCTGCATCCCTCCACATTTCACCGCTATGTGAGATTTTGACTTTAAAAGGTATAAAAAGGAAAGACTAATAGATCTCAGGTGGGAAGAATGTAGGCAATTACGTAAGCCTAATGGGAATATTTCATTATTGTACTATATTCTTCTTTAATCTGATACATCCTGTTTCCACCTAATCTCATCATGACTTATTAAAGTAAGACATTTAAAAAAATTGCTTTGTTTTTGCCACTAGCCATAAAACTTTCATAGTCAAAGTGTGTCCTATTCTAGGGTTTCTATCTTCTCACCCACCTTTCTTCAAAACAAGTATTCTTGTCAAAATGCTTTTGAGGGTGGATGAGGTTTAGGTGATTAAATAATTTCTATATCTTATGTTTGCAACCTTCCATAAATTAAGAGTTTTGGGTTCTAGTTCTACCTCTGCCACATGCCACTAGTGAAACTCACTAAGCTCCCATCTTTCTTTCAGACTTTTTACTATTCTATGTGGATTAAATAATCCCTTTAGCTTGGAAATTGTTAAATTTTCAATAATTTACTAACCTGTGCAGCAACCTCTCAGTAGAGTAGACAACACAGTGGGAACTAGTGAGTTGGAATTGTGTCCTTGTGAAAACTACATACAGCCTTCTTCTAAACTTTGGGCATAGGCTCTGGCTTGTCCTTACCTAGGCACTGTCAACCTTGAACTTTCTTAGGACTTGGAGTGGCACTCCCAAGGGAGTCCCATCTGTTAGGAGGAGTTCAAAGAGGGCAAAAAAATGAACATCTCACTGCAAGAATTTTTCTCTGCATTTTTTCTTAAGCTGGAAGTGCCATACTTTTAAAGTCCAGTAAAAACTTTTTTCTTATAAGACAGATAGCAGGAAAGAAGAGAGTAAAAACGCTCCAAAATAAAAAACATACGAGGGTCATTCACATGGAAGGCTGTATCTTGAGAAAAATTACAATGGTGGAGGAAAGAGGTTGGGAAGACTCCTCCACATCCATATTTTTATCCAGGTGGAATCTAGCTTAAGTGGCCTGGAGACAGAAGGGGAAAATCATGAGAAGCCCTTGCAGGGGCAGAGTGCCTCCTTGGGTCTTGTGTGTGTGGGATTTACATGCTGACACTAATTGTATTTCATTGTGTGGATGTTTTCACCCATCCTCTTCTTCTTTGTTGTCCTGGGCCTCTGCAGCTGTGCTTGTCAGGCCCCCAAACTGGCTGCATCTCTACCTCATCATCTGGCTGTGGTAGGCGCTAGGGATGGGGGCTGGTGGGGTGTAGCTAGTGTTGGTGATGATCTTGACCACTGCATTGGTGAAGATGTAGATCAGTGTCCCAAAACTAATAGTTTCATGCACCATTTTACAATTTAAAAAATTTTAAAACCTTGGGTAGATCTAATTAAACGCTTTCCCAAATTTCAAACATCATTGTTTACTTTTGAAGAAAAGTTGGGTTTATTTTAAAATTCTTTGTTGACTGCACTCTCCTCTCCTCCCTATCCCATGATTCCTCAAACAAGAGAGGAACGCAAGACGGGAATAGCTCCTTTCCTTGTATAGGTGGGCTTTGCAAAGCACAGTCTCTCATCTTTTAAGATAACTGGATGAAGGTGGTAGCATTTGCTCCCTTGCCTTTGCCCGACAGGAACACTCAGTCACTGAGATGCTAACTAATTTGCTCAAATTCACACCAACAACTTAGAGTAGAGCCAAGCTTAGGACCCAGAAGAAAAGACCACACAAGTCAGGACCAATTTCTAAGCATCTATTCCTTGACATATAAATGGTACCTGCAAGTACTGGCAAGAGCGTTCTTGTTGACATGACTCAGACTTCACCATGGCCTGGTCCATGTTCACAGAGGCTTTCTGGTAAACCTCCCGGGCCCGACTCACGGTGAGGGTGGAGGACCAGGCACTCTTCTTCAGGAGTGGGGCGTCCAGGTTCACGGGCAGATTGGCACAGGTGGAGCACTTGACATCATTGTTACTTCGGGAGGCCTTCACGGCCTGCTCGCTGATGGTATTGTAGGCCTCCATGAAGTACTGGGAGGTCGAGCGGTCGGGGCACCTGCCCATGGTCATCACACCTGAGGGTGCGTGATAGATGCACATATCGCCATCGAGGTTGTCATCAGAACTCCACCAACCCGGTGAGGAGGTGGAGGTGGGTGTGACGTTGGACCGGGTTTTGGGCTCCACCCTCCTCTCCTTGCTTTTGCTGCGCTTGCCATACCTCACGGTTTGTGTCTCGTCAGGGCTGGCCTTGCCCCCATTGACGCTGCCCTTAGATGGCCCCTCCAGAGAGTGCGACTTGGTGAAGAGTTTCTGGACCGAGTGGACCAGATGCCGGATGCGCCCAGGGCTGTCGCTGCGGTGCTCCACGGCGGTCCGCTTGTACTGCAGAGTGTGGTAGCCATCCCGGTTGAGGGGTAGCTGCCTCTCAAACTGGTCCAGCAGGTTTGCAGGGATGCGGTTCCCCTTGGTGGCCAGTGTGTGTGGCACCAGGGCGCACTCGTCCTTTAGCTCCTGCTGCGAGGCGTAGTGCCTGCGCGGGAAGGTGCTACTGGCCAGCGGGTCGCTGAAGGGGCCTCTGCACTCGGCCTGGAAGGAGTTGCGCTGTGTGTAGTAAGGGTGGTCGGCGGGGTGGTGCTCCACTGGGCTCAGCAGGTACGGCTTGCGGTCCGAATGGTGGGACAGCGAGTCACAGGCCGAGTCACAGGTGATCCCGTGGTGATGGCTGCGGCTGCCCGATAACCCTTTCATCGCGGACGGCTGGCCACCGGGGGGACATGGGCACCCCCTCCTAATGTTCTGGACCCGTCTTGGGGGTAGACCTGAGGGAGTGAACAAGAGAGGAAACACGGTTAGTGCCCTGGGTACCCACATACTGATCGTTTTGAGGGTGCTGCCCACCACAGGGCTAGGTCACTGGCAGAAATTACTAGTCTCTCCAGAAACAGCTGTAATGCACTACTGGAAAAGGGCTGTCACTTTTGTAGTGGGGGAGCTCCCTCCCAAGCCAGAGCTGAGAGATGGTAGGGCCGGGAAAAGGAAAGCATAAGATGCTAAATGTTTAATAAATTATTTGAAAGAGTATGTTACAGTTTAGATCGAAAATGTCCCCCAAAAGTTTCATGTATTCAGAGATGGGGCTTTTGGAAGGTGATTGGATCATGGCGGTTCTATACTTATGAGTGGATTTATCCCGAGAGGAGCTCATAGCTGAATGTGCTGTTAAAAGGTGGGGCCTGGTCAGAAGATGGGGGTCACTGTAAGCATGATCTGGAAGGGTGCATTCTCCATCCTTTCTCCTCCCTTAGTCCTCTGCTTCCTGACTGCCATGAGGTAGCAAATTTCTTCTGCCATGCCCTTGCACCATGATGTTTCCACCTTGAAGCCAGCTTACCATGGACTGGATGCTCTGAATCTGTGAGCCAAAATAAACTTCTCCTCCTCTAAGCTGTGGGTGTCAGGTGTTTTGTTCCAGCCATGGGAAAGTGACTGATACACAGTAATTCCCTCTCTCCATCATTCCAATAACTGGATGTCTCTTTCCTTTGCTTCTCTGTTTTTATCTTTAACCATAGGTTAATCCTAAAGCTTCCATACACAAAGGTCTAGGCTCCTGTGTAAAGCCTTTGGTGGTAGCTGTGGCAGAAGAGGATCAGGTCCCATCTTGCCCTTTTGCAGCATCTAATGCATGCTTCACAGAAACTATGCAATTGTTTCTGGCTCTCTCTTCTAGCTGAAGTTCCTCACAGCCAGGCTTACCTGCTAGTCACTTTTATGACCTCCTGCCTGGCACTGAGGCCACCCTGTAGGGACACAGCAAGCACTCCTTAAGTGGGTGCAAAAATGTGAGTGAAACGCAAGATGAACAAAAGAAACCCAATGGCACCTTAAATCTTCAGTGTCCTTCTATCTTCAGCCACAAGTTTTCTATTTGGAATTTTGTAGGAACAATTATAGCATGCAAACAATGGACCCCCCATTAATCAGAGTGGAGAGAAGTAAAGATATGGCAAGTAAATCTGAGATGGAGAGAAAACTTGCCAATTAGTGTCTTTCTGTCATTTGAGGGTCAAGGGCATCCTTCAAGGAAGCTAAGTGCAGGTAAAGAAAAAGTGGGCTTGAGTTGACTAATCTGAATATCACAACATCTCCTCTTTCTGGTTGTTATGGTTTGCATCTTAAATGTCCACAAATGCCCACTTGTTAAAGGCTTGGTCCCCAGCCTGTGGTGCTCCTGGGAGGTGGTGGAACCCTTAGGAGATAGGGCCTAGTTGGAGGAAGTTAGGTCACTGGGGTGTGCTCTTGAAGGGAGCAGTGGGACCCTGGCTCTACTTTCTCTCATTTCTTTCATTTTCTGGCCACCATGAGATGAACAATTTTTCTTTACCACATACTTCCACCATGATGTTCTGCCTGCCCACAGACCCAAGCACAAGAGACAACTGACTGAAACCCCTACAGCCACGAGCCAAAAAAACCTTTTCCCTTATGTTTATTCTTTCAGGTATTTTGTCACAGCAACAGAAAGCTGACTAACACGTTGGCTTAAGGATTCTGATGAAATGTTCACAAGTGATAGCAAAATGCTTAAAGGAAAGGTCTTTGAGAAGAGTCAGAGGGTGTGGGTGGAAGACTCTGGGTCTAATGCTCAGGCCAGCCTGAAGGAGAGGTCACACCTGCAGAGCCCCATGGTGGGAATTCATGAAAAGTTCATACCTGAGCTCTGCTCTCCACACTTTTGTGACAGACATTTTGGTCCACCAGGGAAGAGTATCTTGTTTTGATTCTCACTTATGTTCTTCAGGAGCTAACTGAGGTCCTACTGAGAGTCTGATTTTTTTTTTAAAGCTTACCATAATACAAAGATTGTCATAATAAGAGCTGTCCTGGAAAGTAATTGTGACTTTCCAAAACATGACAAGTATCTTTTCAGAGGGAAAAATAAATGGCTAATTAATTAAACAATAAAACACCCACACCTGACTTCATGAAGAAAGACATGGACTCTTGAGCAGTAAGGCCTTGTGTATTTCAAGGAACACACTGCATCCGTGAGCTTATGACAGTGTTGGCAGTCTGTCCATGCTCTGTGAAGCTCCTTTCCTCCTCTCTCTCACTCTCTGGACTAATAGTTCAAGACTTTGATTTGAGGCTTTAATCACTGGAGTCTTTTCAAATTGGTTAGCCTCCTAAATCATAAGCCTCTGAGGGAAGAGACTTATCTCCCTTACCCGGCGTCCAGCAAAGTGTCATCCTATATGATAGTGGGAACACAGTAAGCTACACATGCAGTAACTTAGTTCATTAATGCAAATTCCCCACAGCAGTCCAAGCTGTGATTTGAGGGGCATCTGCTTAGTGGAAATGTGGTTGTGTGGCAAGGGAAGGACCAGAGCCAGGGGAAGTTCCCTGAGAATCAGGAGGGTCCATTTCAGTGGTTTTCAGAGTGAGTCAGGAGATAGGTGGGTGAGTGAATGCTTCTTCTGCACCTGAGAACAATATCCCAGCTTTTGAAGTTCTACCTGCCTGGAAGTTAAAGTCTTAGGAATTTTCCTGCCTTTATGACCACAGGATGCCTAGACAGAAGATCTGTGAATCAGTGTGTTAGTAAGCTTTTTTCCCATGATTGTAATAAATACATGAGATAACAACTTAAAAGAGGAAATGTTCATTTTGGCTCATGGTTTCAGAGATTTCAGTCCATGGTCACTTGGCCTTGTTTCTTTGGGCCTGTGGCAGAGCAGGACACCATGGTGGGAGCATGTGGTAGAGTGGCTGCTTGCCTAATGGTGAAAGAGACAGGAAGGTGCAAGGTCCCAATATCCCCTCAAGGCCCTCCCCTAATGACCTCACTTCCTTCCTCCAGGCCCCACCTCCTAAAGATCCTACCACCTCTCAATAGTGCCATAGCTGGCGACAAAGCCTTTAGTGTATAGGCCTTTAGGGATTAGGCCATAACAAGAGGAAGAGCCTGTAAATATAAACCTTCCCACAGAGGAGACACTCATGAGAAAGGAAAAACTGGGCTATTTTGGTATGAAGTTAAGACCCTAAGAGTATGATGAGGAAGGATTTAAGAGACAAACATCTGTTTTTAGCAAAACTATGGCACAAAGTGATATATGGGAAAGTCTGTCTCTGTATGGCAGGTCCCATGAAGGCATGTTTGCTTTTCAAATGTGGATTTAAAAGCTAATACAATGATCCAGCAGGATTATAGCCACATAATAAGTTTTATGATTACACAGATTAGAGTCCCAGTGTAAAACAACAGGGGATACTGCTTCAAACTTTAATTTTGAAGCAGTTAGGGCTTAGGTAGATATTTTGTACTACATAAAATGTAAAACTGGCAAGAGCTGAAAACATGAATTGTGTTCATTTACTCCAAAATGTACAAGATTGTTTTAATCAGGTATTCAATAGTTATCTTTAATATATGAGCAGCATTATATGTAAGGTGATGTTACCTTAGGACAAGCAGAGCAAATGAAGAGTCTTTCAAGGGTATTAATGATGAATTAAGTTAAATGATGTAACTAATGATAATTTCTGTAAATTAAATATACACAGTATGATATTTACTAAAATTTCAACATAGTTAAAAGCACTTATACTTTCTTAGGGGGTAAGAAACTGCACCAAGATAAATAGATTAACTTGCTTCCTTCTTAGTATTTGAAATTTTGGTCCTTTTTTTCCCTCTATGATATGGGCAATTAAGGTAATTAAAAATGGCAATAAACAATCATAAACATTTTTAAATGCTGAATTGTTCTTGTCAAGGTCAAATAAATTACTTAATAATATAGTGGTTATTTGTGTAGATAATCTTAATGCTCTTTTACTTTCTTGTCATTTTCAAAAGAAAACACATCAGTTTGCAATTATGAAGTACAGCAATGAGTTTGGTGGCTTCCTGGTGAGCAGGGGCAGGTACCATTGATAATGGCTGGACAATTGTCCTTGACATCTACACAGAGGTCTGGATATTTCTGGTCTCATTCTTCATTTTCCTGTTATCTTACTCTTAAAGTCCTTTTCCACTGTGTTTCTGTCTGTTACTTCTCTTTTTTCCTCTCCTAACTGATGTTTGTAAGTGCCCTCCGTGGGCACCCCTGGTTCCCCGTGTTGTGTGACCAACAGCATCAGTCAGAGGCATTCACTGAGCTTTATTTCCATCAGCGGTTTAGGGCCTACTGCTGCAAAGACGACCAAAGGCATCTAATGCATCCCTACTGGCTGCAGGGCTTAGAATGTGTGTCAGAGAGGCATGAGGTTGCTGTGAATAAAGCTCAGTGATGATTCTCCTTACTTTGTCCATTCTTAGAAGAGAGCTGGAGGTCCTTGAGTTAGATTTCACTGGGCTGTCAGAGTCTCTGAAGATGGAAAGAGAAAGTGCCCTTTATGCCTTGAAAGGATGTGGAGTGTGGTCAACATGGCTTCAGGAGAGTTTCCATGACTACAGTAATTATCTCTGATTTTTTCTTTTTCACTGTGACTTTAAAATTATGCTTTGTTGTCCTCCTAAGTCCAACACACCATCAGGTCATATGTCCTAATGTTTGGGTGGAACAGTCTCTTGACAGCATTGATGATCAAGAGATGAACTCAAGAGAAAAGGAAAAAAATGGAAACAAAGTGTTTGTAATATTATAGGGAAGGGTGGAGGGGGTGAAGGGAGCACAGGGAATGGGGAAAAAATAAGAACCAAGATACATCATGTACAGGTACAAGTACCCAATGATAAATGTAAGCGTATTGTATACCTAAAATGTACCGATAAAAGAATTTAAGCAAAAAAACAAACAAACAAAA